GTAATGATAACAGTAATAATAATGATAACAACAATAATGATAATAATAATAGTCATTATTATTATTATTATTATTATTATTATTATTATTATTATTACTATTATTGTTATTATTATTATTATTATTATTATTATGATTATTACTATTATCATTATTGTTATTGTTAATATTATTATTATTATTATTATCATCGTTATTATAATAATAATGAAGGTAAGTAATAGTAGTAATACTAATAAAAATCATAGTAATAGTAATAAAGAGGATAATGATAATAATAATAATAATTATGACCATAATAATGATGATAATGATAATGATATTGAGAATGATAATAACAATAAAAGATATGATAATGACAATAATAATAATAATAATGATAATAGCAATAATAAGAAATATTATTATAATAACAATAATGCCAATGATAATGATAATAATAATAATAATAATAATAGTAATAATAATAATAATAATAAAAATAATAGAAGTAGTACTAATAGTAGTAGTAGTAGTACTAATAATAAAAACAATAATGATAATGATTATAATAATGATAATAATAACGACAATAATAATAGCTATAACAAAAATAATTACAATAATACTAATGATGTTGTTGCAGCTAATAGTGATAACGATGATAATAACAATAAGAAAAGTAAATGTGATAATAACATTAATGATAATAACGTAAGTAATGAAGATAATGGTAATGATAGTAATGAAAGAGATTTTAATAGTTATGATAATAAGATGATAATGATGATAATGCCAATAACAATAATAATTACAGTAACAGTAATAATGATAATAATAACGATAATAATAATAAAGATAATGACAATAATGATAATGATTATAATGATAATGAAGAAAATTCGGGCAATAACATAATAATAATAGTAATAATAATAATAATGATAATAATAATAATAATAGTAATGATGATGATGATAAAAATTATAATAAGAATTATAATGATGTTCATAATAATAATAACAAAAACAACAGCAACAAAAATAATAACAACAACAACACAACAATGTTAATAATAATAATGATAATGATAATGATGATGATGATGCTAATAATGATAATCATAATGATAATAACAATAACAGTGTTAATGACAATAGTATAAAAGATTATGATAATAATGATAATAATACTAGCAAGAGTAATAAAAATATCAATGACAGCAATGATAATAATGATAATAATAATAATAATGATAATATTGATAATGATGATAATAAGAATAAAAGCATATTGATAATAATTCACTATCATTATAATTATTATAGTGATCATCATAACAATAATACTAACAATAGTGATAATAATGACAATAATAATGATAATGATACAAAATACAATAATGAAAATAATTATCATAACAAGAAAGATGTTAATAAAAATAATATTGATGTTGGTAATAAAAGTAGTAACAAAATTAATGATAGTAACAATGATAACAATGAAAATCATGGAAGTGATAATATTAATAATGAAATTGATAATAATAATGATAATAATAATCATAATTATTATTATCATTATTATTATTATGATGATGATGATGATGATGATAATGATAATAATAATGATAATGATAATGATGATGATAGTAATAACGATAATAATAATAATAATGATAATAGCAATGGTAATAATAATAATAATACAACTATAATAATAATGATAATAACAATAATTATAAAAATAATGATAATGATAATGACAATAATGATGGTAATTACTCCACTCTCCTCTTCTTTCCCTCGTTTCCCTAGCCCTCTTTTTCTCTCTGTCCCCCCTCTCCCCCCCCCCCCACCCCTCTCTCCTGGACCCGGTCCCTTCCTCGGTGACGGTCAGTAGTTGGCCTGAGGCGTGAGGTTAGTGGTGTGCCCTTCCTCCTCCTCCTCTTCTTCTTCTTCTTCCTCCTCCTCCTTCTCCTCCTCATCATCATCCTGCTCTTCTTCTTTCTCCTCCTCCTTCTCCTCCTCCTTCCCCTCTTCCTCTTCCTCCTCCTCTTATTCTTCCTTCTCCTCCTCCTCCTCCTCCTCTCCCTCCTCCTCCACCTCTTCCTCCTTCTCCTCCTCTTCCCCTTTTTATTATTAATCCTTGTTCTCTTCCTTTTCTTCCTCCTCCTTCTTCTCCTCCTCTTCTATCCTCCTACTCCTCCTCCTCTGTTTCTTCTTCCTCTTTTTCCTCTCTATATATCTCCCTCTTTCTGTTACTCGTTCATCATTTCCTATTCGGTGAAGGATTAACATAAAAGTATCAATATGATAAATAAATACCAAAAACAGGAGACATTTTCAGATGCCCAAAATTCTCGAAGAAAAGAGAGAGAAAGAGAAAGAGAGAGAGAGAGAGAGAGAGAGAGAGAGAGAGAGAGAGAGAGAGAGAGAGAGAGAGAGAGGGAGGGAGAGAGGGAGGGAGAGAGAGAGAGGGCGAGAGAGAGAGAGAATGAAATAGAGAGAGAGAGAGAAAGAGAGGGAGAGAGAGAAGGAAATAGAGAGAGAGAGAGAAAAAGAGAGGTAGAGAGAGAGAGAGAGGGGGAGGGAAAGAGGGGGAGAGAGAGAGAAAGAAAGAAAAAGAGAAGAAAACATCCTCTTTTCTTCCCTCCACCCCCTCCCCCTCTCTCTCAGAAGCCGGCACTTGATAAAAGCATATTCCAAAGCATCCATCACTCAAGCAAGCAGTCAGACGGTCCCTGCGTTGAAGCCAAATAATAAAAAATACAAAAAAAACACAAACACACATATATAAACTCCCCCTCTCTCTCTCTCTTACTCTCTCTCTTTCTCCCCTCTCCCCTCTCTCTCTCTCCTCTCCCCTCTCGCTCCCCTCTCCCCCCCTCTCCCCTCCCCCCGACTGAGCACACGCAAGCACACGCAGTCCTAGAAATTAAAGCCCTCAATTTTCTGATTAACTTAGCCTATGAAATTGCTCAGCTGAAAAGAAACACGGGTGGGTCTTCATATAAGCTTTTGGAGCGCTTACAAGCTCAATTTTCCATTCAGAAATCAAAGAGTGGAGTCAAAAATCCTTGTAAATATTTAATGTCTTTCTTTTCCTGGGCTCCTCGAGTGGGCGGAGTTTGAGGTGTGTAGCGGTTGCGTGATTGGCCGATTCGTGGTTTGCGCGAGATGCCAGACACTCCCAGACGCTCCGGGGCTCTTCGGCAAAGCTTCTGATTAATTGTACTTTTCGTTGTACGTTATACACGCTATCACTTATTTGCAAGGCGAGTGGGAGTTTTTTTTTTGTAAAAGCTAGTTTCGGTCGGCGTTCCGAAGCGGGCGTTGGCGAAGCGACCGCAAATATATTTTTAAAAAGAAAAAAAATAAGCCCAGTGTACACTATCTAAGAGAGCGCGGGTCGGGTGAGCGGGTGACGCGCCGGGTGGAAGCGGAGCCTCCGAGTCGCCGCCGGTAATGATAGAGTCAATCGCGTCTCCGGGCCGGCGTGCGAAGTCGGCGACACACAAAAATGCATTTTTCATCACGGCGAAACTCTCCCGCACCGCCGCGACGCCTGAGCTTCCCCCGATGGCCCTTCCCGCTCGGCCCGACGGACGGAGACACGAGGCGAGGCCGAGAGAGGGAGAGGGAGAGAGAGGCGAGAGCCGGGTGTCGAAAAGCGAGCGAAGAAGGGAGAGGAAAAGCGGCGAGGGGAAGGGGGAAAAAGCGAGCGAGGGCGAAATAAGGTGGCGGCGAGTGTACAGGTGTTCGTACGAGTGTCGGGTTCACCGCGCGGTTGGCCGGCGGGAGGCGGGTAGTCCTCGGCCGCCCAGAGAGCCCCCGGACCAGTCAGCCAGCCAGTCAGTCATCCTCACGACACCGCACTGACCGGACCTGTGACCGTCATCCCTCCACCACGCCCGCAGCTGGTGGTGTTCGCGGTGGTGTGCGTGTGCGTGTGTGTGTGCGGCCGAGCTAAGCCCCGAGTGCTTTTTGTATCAGAGTCAGCCTTTCCACGCAGAGTTTTTGGGCCTTTGTGAACGCTCTGGGATACACGCCGTTGATATTTTGATACATTTACGCGTCTCGGCCCGAGAGAATTATTAGCCTCGGCTTGATTTTTTTTCAAAATCTCGCTTTCCCCGCTTCCGCGAAGGCGCCCGTGAAGAGATTGGGATACTTTGCTCTCGGTTTCGTCTCTCCCAAGACTGCCGTCGGAGTGCTTGGAAATAACTCTCGCGCGGCCTTGTGAACTCGGCCAGCGATTAGTTTGTTCTGTTTTCGTGATATGAAAGGATAAGTAGATCCGTGAAGTGCTCGTTGCGTGCGCCGGCGAGGGAGTCCAGTGCCTTTTGAAATTTCTTAGCAGCAGCAGCAGCGGCAGGAGGAAGAGCGTTGTTGTTTGTTGTGCTTTTCTGACCCTCTTTTCTCGCCACGTGGACAGCGCCGAGGTCTTGTGCTTCTGTGAGGTCTCTTGAGTGTTGAACTCTGACGCTGACGGAGGAAGTCCCGCATCGTCGGAACAGGAGAGCCTCCGTGGCAGCTTCAGCGTAGGCAGCAGCAGCAGAGGACGTTCTGTGATCAATTCTGTGCGGCAGGAATTCTAGTTCTTCGGTGCGACAGCTGCTTGTGAGACGCACTTGAGTCCAAGGGACCCGCCGAACTCCTCCGAGCCCGCGGGACGACTTGGCCCTCTCCCGAAGGCGCCTTGTCCCCGTCAGCATCCCCGAGGCGCCCTTGGCTGCGTGCGATGCGGCTGTGATCCCCTCGGAGAGCACGAGGCGAGGAGCGAGAGGCGCACGGCGTCCCCAGCGGCGTCCCCAGCGGCGTCCCTGAGCGCTGACGCCGGGTCCGCTTCCCACGGGCGGCCGCGGAGGCAGAGCGCCCGACGGCCTCGCGCCCCTGAGCCCGCGAGCCCCGGCAGGAGAGCGGCTCCCCTGCGGCTCCGGGGTGAAGGCACGGCCACCAGGGCTGGGCGCCGCCGGCATCGTGGCTCCTCATGCTGGCGCCGCTGACCCGCGCGCCCTGATGACGGTGGCGTGGCGCAGCGCAGGCGACATGGCGACGGAGGTGGCCAGCATGGGCGGCATGGGCGGCGGGGGAGAGCACCCTGGCGAACTGGTGAAGACGGGCGCGCCGAACATCCTGTGCACGGCGCTGCCCACCCACTGGCGCTCCAACAAGTCCCTGCCCATGTCCTTCAAGGTAGTGGCGCTCGACGACGTCAAGGACGGCACCATCGTCACCGTGCGTGCCGGCAACGACGAAAACTTCTGCGGCGAACTGCGCAACAACTCGGCCGTCATGAAGAACCAGGTCGCCAAGTTCAACGACCTACGCTTCGTCGGCAGGTCGGGCAGAGGTGAGTCACTCTTCGTGTTCCTTTGGCTTTTCTTTCACGAGATTTTACGCCCATCCAAATTCCCAATCGGTGGCGTGACGGGCAATTAGGGTCGGTTCCCTGAGGGCGCCCCAAGAAGTGTTCTCCAGAGCCCCGGGAGGCACCAGCGGCGCCCCTGGCTCAAGAGCTCTCGAACGAAGGCGCCCCAGAAGGCCCAGGCATTTTGACAGGCATCCGTCCCTCCTCCTTGTGACATATCGGCCGGGGTCGCAGCCGCTCTCCTCGAGTCATAGATCTCCGTCACCGTCTGCGGCGGAGGACAACCCCTTCCAAGGCGTCTCGAAGGAGTGGGTCGTCCTTCAAAAAGGGTCGTCGGTTGTTTATGGGTCTTTAGAGTGTCGTCGAGCGCGCGTCGTAATAAACTCCTCCGGCGGATGATGAACACGACGGCAGTTCCCGGCTGTCCGTCCGGCCGAGAGACGAGCCACCTATTGAGGAGTTTGTTGAGTGATTGATGCAGTGCAAGAGGGGAAGGGGCAAGGGGCAAGGGGAGAAAGGAGGAAGGGGAGGAGACGTCGCGTGGTTTTGACCAGGTGCTTTCTCTGGCGGAGAGGTCCTGAGGGATGTGTGAACGCAGCGTCAGTGAGGGGAAAAGCGAGGGGAGGCATCGGCTAACACAGCAGCCGAAGTAGGACGAGGGGAAAGTTGTCAATCGGAGGTTAGACGGGCGTTTGTCAACACGGCTCGGAACCAGTGTACCTTGACCCAAAACCCGTGTAAGTAGGAGGCGGGGACGGAGGCGAAGAAGGAGGAGAAGGAGGCTTTATGTTGCAGAAGGACAGGGGGTTTTGTCCCCACGCGAAGGGGAGGGGAAATATGCCACATAGGCTTAGCGTTGAGGGTCTCCTTTCTCCCCTCCGGACGCGCGTCGGGGTTGTCAACTCCGCCCGAGATTGATGGGGAGGCCGCACGCAGATTGATATGGGCAAAGTGTGTCACCTTGGCCGTTAAATCTTCAAACATCACCAGAGGAAATCGGCTCCTTTCTCCCCACTCCCCCCCTCTCCCCTCCTCCCCTTCTCCCCTACTCTCCCTTTCCTCCTTTCGGTATCTCCCTTCCACTCCATCTCTCTCCGTTTTCCTCTCTTCTCCATATCTATCTATCCTCCCTTTCTTCCCTATCTTCCTTTCCTTTCCCCTTCTCCCCATCCTCCTCACTATATTTCCCCTCCTCTCCCCATCTCCTCTTTTCCCCTTTTCCCCATCCTCCCCACTATATATTTCCTGTTTTCATTTCCTCTCTTACCATCCCCACCCCCCACCCCATTCTCTCCCCATCTCATCCTCCCCACCATATTTCCCTCCATCTCCCCATCCTCCCCATATCTCTCTTCCTCTCCTCTCTCTCTCTCCCATCTCCCCTATATCTCCCATTCCATCCCTTCCTCTCCCTATCCTCCATCTCCCTCTCTCCCTTCCACTCCCCTCTCTCCCCCATCCTCTCCCTTCCTCTCCCCTTCCTCTCCCCTTCCTCTCCCCTTCCTCCCCTCGTCCCCTAGAGCTCTCCCCTCACGCAGAAAAGGCCTATTGAAACGTTTTAGGCGCCCTTATGAGACCTAAACTAGCTGGATTCTCGCCTCCCTGATTTGCAGATTCAGGTAAACCCTTCTATGTTAATCCATCGAGGGAGAAAGTTAAATCGTAATTTGGAAAAAAAGAGAGAGAAAAAACGTGTGAAAGATGTGTAATATGCTTTTATTTCTTTGTGTTTTTTTGTTTGTTTGTTTGTTTTACGCAAATTTATTTCAAAGCTCTACAACGTATAAACAGTTAAAACAATGCACAAATACACACGTACATACATGTACACAAAAACATGCAAACACGCATGTACACCTACATAAACACACACATACCCATATACACCTACACCTACACCTAAACACTCACACACACACACGACTACACACCCCTACATAAACACACCCGTACACACACACAAGACTACACACCCCTACATAAACACCCACGCACACACACACACACCTACACCTACATAAACACGCCCACAAACGCACACAGACACGGATGCAGACAGATTAATTTTTGTGCCATCGCCACCGTATTTCCGCCGTCGTTCACACCATCACTAATGAGTAGGTTACATACAGTGTTCGTTACCGGCAGCCTTCACAACAGAGCGCTACATCGTTATTATTATGATGTTTAATCACCTTGGCTGTTATAGGCATGCCAGATTTGGATATTACTGTGTGTGTGTGTGTGTGTTTGTGTGTGTGTGTGTGATTATGTTGTTGAGGTCGTTATCTTCTAAGATATTACTTGCGTTGTTGTTATTGTTATTAACATTTTTTTACTGTTATTATTATCATTATAATAATACTGATAATAATGATCATTATTATTGTTATTATTATTTTCATTATTATTATTATTATTATTATTATTATTATTATTTTCATCGCCATTATAAATATATTACTGTTTTGTTGTTATTCTTATTATTTTATAATCATAATTATTATTTTCATTATTGCTACCATTATAATCTTTAATGCACAAATGACTAGAAGAGAAATATAAATTATATTAATTCATATTCAGGTTGATGACTGATCATATTTATATCTATAATTGCAATTATCTCTCTCTCTCTCTCTCTCTCTCTCTCTCTCTCTCTCTCTCTATATATATATATATATATATATATATATATATATATATATATATATATATACGTGAGTATGTATTAATATAGACGGTTAGATCGATAGATGCAGTGATAGATAAATAGGTAGATACATAGATATATATAGATATTATGAACATACAGTATGTATATATTATGTGAATCAGTATGATAGATGTACAGTTTTCCGCGCGCGCGTGCATGGCATAACTACGAGCGCAAATATTTTTAAATAAGCTCTTAAAATTAAATGATTCCTCAGTATTTACACTCAAGAATCTGATTACAACTATTTCTTACTGATTCTTAGGCGCAAAATTTAGAGTTATTTTGATTATCTTTTGTATCAACATTTTCCCATATGAAACCTAAGAATATTATATTTTGTGATATTTATTTGAGAAATGTGTTTAATAACTTCACTTTCCCTATTTTTTTATAATTATTTTTTCTTGTTCAGAATATCTATTCTAACTCTTTGTTGTTGTTATTGGTAACTGTTTATCATTATTTGATTATTTTCATTAATCGTCCCCATTATGATTTGCATTGTTTGAATAATGCATTCACTGATATCATTATATTATTTTTATATTTATTATATTTATTTTATATCCATTGTCATTATTGTTGTTTTCATAATTTTTACCTTTGCGTTAACTTTTGATAAACAATATACGTTACTATGGAAATTTCTATCAATATTTTTTCTTCTAATAAATTTACCTTTAACTATGATTATAATTTTCGTTTTTGAGTCATCTATTTACAGCAGTAATAGTTGTATATTTTTATTGTGATTTTCAAGTAACATTTTTCATATAATCGGTTTTAATATTTTTGTTATTATAAGTAATATTGATATCATTATCATTGTTATTATCATTATTTCTATTACAAGAATTACTCTAGTACATTGTTATCATCATCGCTATTATTATTACTATTACTATTAGTTTTGCTGCGTTTGTTTTTATTATTATCATCTCGACATTTTTTTTTTTATAAGAATTTTTATTATCAATATTTTTTTCCTATTGTTATAATGATATTATTATTGTTGTTGTTATTATTATTACTGTTATTAGTGTTTGTTGTTGTTATCATTACCATTCCTTTTATTATTATCATTATTAACTTTATTTACATGATTTATTATTATTATTATCATTATTATTATTTTTTTATCATCATATTTACTATTATCATTATTATTATTATTAATGCTATTATTATTATTGCTATTATTATTATTATTATTATCATTAGCATTAATATTAGTAGCATTTTAACGTTATTATTGTTATCGTTATTATCATCATCATTATTATTAGCAGTAATACTGTCCTTATTATTATTATCAATGTTATCTACGTTATCTCATGACACATAATCTTTCTTTCTATCTTCTTGTCCTTTCTCCATTTCATTTCTTTAGCATTATCTCTGATTATCTTGTTCATTGATATAATAAGTTATTTTCTTCCTGTTTAATTAGGAATGTCGCAACTTTTTTATAACTTTATAATTTTATCTAAATTCCTGATTTATATTAATTAATAGTCTTTATTATTGTTCTTCTTTATTATTCTTACTATTTATTCTATTCCTGGGATTTATCATGTTTATTTTCATTCGTATTTTTTTTTTTACACTTTTCATTAGTATACATTATTATTATTATTATCATTAGCATTAATATTAGTAGCATTTTAACGTTATTATTGTTATCGTTATTATCATCATCATTATTATTAGCAGTAATACTGTCCTTATTATTATTATCAATGTTATCTACGTTATCTCATGACACATAATCTTTCTTTCTATCTTCTTGTCCTTTCTCCATTTCACTTCTTTAGCATTATCTCTGATTATCTTGTTCATTAATATAATGTTATTTTCTTCCTGTTTAATTAGGAATGTCGCAACTTTTTAATAACTTTATAATTTGATCTAAATTCCTGATTTATATTAGTTGATAGTCTTTATCATTGTTCTTCTTTATTATTCTTACTATTTATTCTATTCCTGGGATTTATCATGTTTATTTTCATTCGTATTTTTTTTTTCTTTTTTTTTTACACTTTTTCATTACGCAAAGAATAAGAATTCGTTGTCGTCATAAATTCTATTTACTTTAATATATTCTCCTGTATCTAGATTGTTATTATTGTTAATTAGGTAATCACTATTCACACTATTATTATTATTATTATCAAATAATTACGTTTTTTATTTTTTTTTATTATTGACTTAATAACTTCTCATTTGTTTAATATTCCCTCTTCTTTATTTTATTAATTATTCG